TCCCTCGCGGCGGGCGCACTTTGGCTCCCCTTCTCTTTCCCACTTGGCCCTTTCTCTCTTTTCTTCTCATTCCTCCTTTTTTTCTCCTTTCCCTTCTTCTGTCGACCTCTCTCTTCCTTTTTTCTCCTCCTTTCTTCATTCTTTCTCCTTTTTTCTTCCCTCTTTTGCTCGACCACTCTTTTTTTTCTCCTTCATTTTCTCCTTCTCCAGCCTCCTTCTTCCTTTCCTCTCCTTCTTTCTTCTCTCTCGACTTCCCTGAACGACCCCCTCTTCTTCTTTCTCTTCCCGATCGCTCCTCTCTTTTTTGACTACTCTTCAAAATGAAGAGAAACCCTAAAATTTTTTCTTTTTATATCCATTCGCCCTGACCGTTAGATCTTTCTAGCTCGATCTGGGTTGTCCGTTTTTCATTAAATCTCACCCATTTGATCTTCTCAAACGGTTCAATCAAGACCGCTCGTTCCCTATTTCTTTTTTTTTACCCCATTCCACTTCCACTTATTTATACTTTTACCCCATTTTTTCTCATTTGTTTCCCTTAAGTCCTAATTCTAATTTTATTTTTTATTTACATTTCGTCTCTTTTTTTTTTCTTTAGATGGATATTACATTGTAACAAAAAAGTTAAGAACTAAATTGTAATGAGTGCAAAACATTATAGACTAATTTACTAATTTTCTATAAAATTATTTGTTTGTGTAGATTTAATGCATGCGAGTAACCTCACAACATTATGACATTTTCTCTTGATAGGAATCAATGTATAAGCACATAGTGTATTTTTAAAATTCAGAATGATAACATTAAAAATATAAGTATATTATTCACTTTATGTTTAGATAAGTGAGTTTAGTGGTTATAGATTTAACTACTAGACTTACAATCCAAGCATTCAATACCATTTAGTAGAACATTTTATTTTATATACATGTCAATAAAAGCCAGTATAATAATCTTGTAAATCCATTTATTACCAACATAACGGACATGTCATTTATGCTTTTTAGCCAAGGAGTTGAACTTATCACACATGATACTCCTCCATGCAGGAAAGAATGGCTTTAAAAAAGGTGGCTGGTTCAATCGGAGCAACAGTGGCAGCATTAGCTTATCCCTTTAACATTGTTCAAGGACATAGGTCATAAAATTTGTACTTCCATACGAATCTGAAACTTGGCTTAATAGTTCATTTAAAAACAAACAGATCCAAATAAATGTTCAGTCACCCTCTATTAATACGCGAAAAAGAAAGAGATAAAAAAAACAAGAAGAAGAAAATATGCTTGCAGGGAGATCCAACAAGCTTCTGACGCGCATTTAGTTACCATATAAATTAAGTATAGTTATTTTAGAAGCATCAAGCTCCTAAGCGAAAAAATCAATGGACATACAAGGTCATATAGCCCGCAGCAGGTAGCTGAATTAAATTTCTTCATAATTTTGTTTCATCTAGATAGCATCGTAAATATTATTGTTTATGTGGTACTACAATAACTTAATTGATTCCAGCAGTGTGTCATTATTTTTCAAAAGTGAGTAATAAAATTAATTATGGCATATGGAGTACAAGTACGTATACAGCTGTCAGGCATAGTTTAATGGAAAAACTCTTATGAATTGTCCTTAGAGGCTCCAGTTGCAGATTACTTTTTCCTATAAAACTTTTAATTAACATTTGAGATATGTTTCATGAAATTGTGCTATGTATCTAGACCCATCGTCTATATATATCCTTCATTCATGCAAGATTTATACATATACACGCATATGAACATACATGTGTAATGTTGTGCAACGGAGAGTCGCCTTGGACCTTCTTAATAACTTTATAGAATATGTATGTATCTTAGCTTTGAAGTTATTATTCTAAAATAATAAACAAGT